AAAAGTACAAATATCCCAAGTGAGTCAGTTATTTGCAGCCACTGTTTTCAAACTGCGGATATCTCGAGTGAGTCAGTTATTTGCAGCCACTGATCTTAAACTGCGGATATCCCAAGTGAGTCAGTTATTGTAACATCCACTGTTCTCAAACTGCGGATATCTCAAGTGAGTCAGTTATTGTAACATCCACTGTTCTCAAACTGCGGATATCTCAAGTGAGTCAGTTATTGTATGTAACACCCACTGATCTCAAAGTGGTTCTCACCTTCTGACTTATAAATTATTTTTATCCTGGAGTGTGGATTGGAGCGGTGTTGTTTCAGTGTTGTTGAGAGAGTCAGTGAGGGAGATGCTTTATTCTTGGAGCTCATGTTTTCATTCAACAACGTTTTGAAGACACGACGTTTTGAAGACACGTTTTGGGAATACTTTATTATTTTATTTTTTAAAGATTGAAATCACTTTCATTGCGTGGATAAACTGCGTCGTCATTCGTGTATATTTTTTCAGTTCTGTTTTCTTTTTCCTAAACTTGAAAATAATGGAAAAGAAAATATTTAATATTTATGGTTCTATGAACTATGCCAGCTGGTGTTTGTGAATCGTGTTGGATGATTCGAAATGTGTCGAAACAATGCCTGCTGTGCTCTGCTTCTGCTAATCGGACAGAAATCTTATAATATTTTGTCTGCAACCTCCTTACAACGTTGATGGTTAAACGCTTACCTTTTGGGAAGAACAGATTCGTTCGTGGAGACGAAACAAGAAGAAGAAGAAAAGTTTTCCTAAGTTGTGAAATGAAGACCTCTAGCAGTGTGTTGTATGTTGTGTGTCGACGTCTCGGATTCTCGCACACTACAGCCTATATATTGTAGAGATTTAGCTCTTTATAATAACTTATACTCTTTATCTCGTCACACACACACGGTTGTAATTTTGTGAAAGCCAGGTGTATGTCTTCGGCTACTCTTTTTGTTCACGTAGATTTGGATGTTGATATAAAGTGCAAGTAAGTCTTTCGATTTTTATGTACACATTTTTTTTTGGGGGGGGGTCCTTGTATTCTTAGATAATTCCCTGTGTTCTTGGGCTAGAACAGCACCTGGACATGAATAGCTGGTGCCTTTATTAATAGATTATTGGTGGTGCTTCTTTGATTTAAATTGTGGATGGTTGGAGGGTGCTCTGGTGTGGTTTGCTCCTTCTTTCCTATCAACTATCTGTCGTCCTGATCTCTCCTCCTTTTTTGTTTGTTACTCTCTTGTAACACCTCTAATCTTCGGCACTTGTATGACCTTGTTGAGGTGAAAGTGCCGTAAAACTCTTACTAAAACTTTGGATGAATGAGTATGAAGGGGAGTTGGAATTTGTTGTTGTGGTGTGTGTGTGTGTCTGTGTGTGTGTGTGTG